TATGTCGCTGTTACGGAAGCTAGCAAGGAGATGGTTTGGCTCCAAAGTTTCTTGGAAGAGTTAGGCAAGAAGCAAGAAAACAATGTCTTGTATTGCGACAGTCAAAGTGCTATACATCTAGCAAAGAATCCGTATTTTCATTCCAGGACAAAGAACATACAATTGCGATATCATTTTATCCGGTCTCTTCTGGAAGATGAGATTTTGAAACTTGAAAAGATCAGTGGAGCTCAAAATCCGGCAGATATGTTGACAAAGACGGTGACTACAGACAAACTGAAGTTGTGTTCAACTTCAGTTGGCATGCTAGAGTAACAAGACTAGAAAAGCTGTTGCATTGATCGAGGTGTGAAGACAGATTAAAACCAATCTTCAAGTGGGAGATTGTTGAAAGTATTAAAATGGTTTTCAAGTTTGGTAACCAACTTTGAAAAAATGGTTTTCAAAGTTTGGTAAATGTTTCTTTGAAAAATAGTTTTCAAAGTTTGGTAAATGTTTCTTTGAAAAATAGTTTTTCAAAGTTTGGTAGATGTTTGTTGAAAAATGATAATGGGATAATCATAATTAATCCCTAGATTTTAGGGTATTTACAAGATTAAGTCCTTAAGTTTCAACTATAAATACCCTAGCTCATTTAGCTTCAAAACCATCCCAAAAATCATTTCTTTCTCCCAATACTAGAGAGCTTTCTTGTGAGTACTGAGTGTTTTGTAAACACCTGTAATTTTTCTCTCGTAGTAAAAGATCTGCAGCAGTCCGGAGACGTAAGCACAATTGGTTGAACTCCGTTATCAATTTCGGGTATTATTTTTCCGCTTTTATTTCGTATTCTCACTAATCTGACTATAGGGAAATTACTTGTACTTGGTTTATTTCCCAACACCATTGCACAACATGAAGGCATTGGCAGAAATGTATCTGCTGAGTTTGACTGATGTGTTGGTCACAAGTGCTTGGTCTACATTCGGGTACGTAGCTCAGGGTCTTGGAGGTTTGAGGCCATGGATCCTTCACAAGTCTGAAAATCAAACAACCCCGAATCCGCCTTGTGTTCGAGCCATGTCAATGGAGCCTTGTTTCCATGCTCCACCATTTTATGATTGTAAAGCTAAGAAAGGTACTGATACAGGTAAAGTCGTTCCACATGTGAGACATTGTGAAGATATTAGTTGGGGACTTAAGGTAGTAGATAGCCATACAGACATCTAAACTTGTATACATAGACATTAGTTTCCTTTTGCCTTAACAAATACACATATCAGTTCCCTAATAGTTAAGACCAAGTACCAAAGGCTTCCTTGTTCCATATCTTTCCACGTGTCGAAGTTGTAACATCATCAGCAACGATGAGAGCCATTAGTTGCCCTTCAGCTTCCACTGTCCCAAGAGCAAGGTTGTAATTGAGTCAGGCTTGAACGAATAAGACTATGTTCGTATTCGTTTGTTTATTATTTTTAATGTGTTAATGTTCGGTTCATGTTTTTTTAGTATTATATTCGTATTTGTTTGTTCATTTTTGAAGGTGTATGTGTTCGATTTATTTAACATTTGTGAACATATTCATTTATATGTTCACTAACATATTCACTTAACATATAAGAGCATGCTCTTTGCGCATGGTCAGTTTGCTCTTATATTTACCAGTCAAAGAAAAATGATGATATTTCACTAATCCTTAAACTCCTTAAGCTTCATCATTTGAACTCTAAAGTTTATTATGTGTTCATTTTATTATCTACCTTTATTAATATTTAAAATATAAAGGTTAAAATATAAAAAATACTTTTAAAACGCTTGCATTTTGGTCACTCAACTTTTGAAACTTGCAATACAATTATTGAACTTTTAATTCGTTTTCATTTTGATCCCTACCGTTACCTTCCCGTTAATTTTTGTTGACGTGACACTTAACTCGTATACTTTTCTAACGTGGTAGCTTCTTCTTTTTCCTCTTCTTCTTTTTCTTCATCAAAGCAATCATCTTCATTTTTAAAACCCGATTCCAAAACCGACCCAACATGCAGAAGGGATGGGAGAGAGCAATTACTAAGCTGCAAAGACGTCAAGGTTGGGTTTGAAGCATGGCGGGGGTGAGATCGTTGAAGGAGGTTGAAGGTAAAGTCATAAAGACTTTGCAAAACGAGTAAACGTATTTAATTTTCACAACCAAAACCTGCAACTACAATTACAAGATATCATCACTTTATAACATAAAAACTTTCGATCATAAACCCCTACTCCAAAGATCTACTTCTTACATCTTTGACAACATCGTTGACTATTATTACTTTGACCTTCTTGTAATCAATCCACGTGATCGACACCGCACTCTTCAAGCACCACGGGGCGCCTATCTCCAAAGACGTTCCATAGGTACATCACACAACAAGTCGTCAAAGGCTCCGCAGGTGCCACCTAAGACGAACACAACGAGCACTTTCCAAAAATATCTACTATTCTTGGGCACGGTTGTCAAAAGACTCGAACTCGAGACTTGCTTAAACAGAATCGAGTAACTTACTACTTGAACCAACTCGTGGATATTTTTTTACATTCTTAAACATATTTTCTTTTGAACTTTTATATTTATTTTTGTAACAGTTTTTAAAATAATAAAATCACATTCAAGTTCAACATATACTATTTGTCCAACATTATTAATTATCTGAAATGGTTGCAGCTTTAAATGAGGTATCTTTGACATTGAAGGACGAAAGCTTCGTCTTCGTCACTGTTGTGCTCTCTAATTACCTTCCTGCTCATTTTCCAGTATTGTCTGGTAATTGTTTTTAGAATTGTAGACCTATGTGCACGCATATGGTTTTAATTATCTTTGGCTAAAGTACACAAATAGTCCCCTGATTATAGGATAATACTTTATTGGATACCTTGACTATTAAAAGTTATAAAATGGTCCTCCAACTATAGGAAGTTGCTTTATTGAATCCCCTGACTATTAAAAGTTACAAAATGATCTCGTTTATAAGCTCGTTTACATGCTCTTTTAGAAGCTCATTTACTTGTTCTCCTTTTCTTTTTACTTTTTTTACATTTTAAATATTAGTGGAGATAGGGACTAAATTGAACACATAATGAGATTTTAAGTTTAAAATGTGAATCTTAAGGAGTTTATGTACTAGTGACGTAATTTTACCATTTTTCTTTTGAAGATGAAAAGGTAAAAACTGAACAATTATAAATTAAATAAATATGTTCACGAATACTAAAAATAATAAACCTATGAATGAATATGTCTGCGAACGTTAAACGAACATATTTGTAAATAATAAATAAACGAACACAAACACCTTTAATTATAAATAAGTGAACACGAACACAATATCAAAATTTTAAACGAATACGAACCGAATATGAATACCTCAAAAAATTAAATAAACGAATACGGACACAAACTTATTTGTAATCTCGATTCATTTACACCCTTAAATTTATTTGAACACCATTTGACAAGTTTAAATGATATTAAACTCTCCATTTAGAATCTCAAATCTTAAAACTCAAATAAAACAAATAACATTAATGCAATTTGTTTTATAATTTATTAGCGGATGAAATAATAATTCATAAATTATATATATTAAGTATTGATAGTATTAAATGTTATATAAAAAAATTGAAAGGTGGAGGGGTCCGAGGTCTGACGTCAACTGTTATCTTTGCACCGCTTTATGTTGCATTTACAATGCACCAGAAACTGCCCAGCACCATAAAAACGTGTCTCTGCAATTTATTTCTCGTATAATCACATCCATCTATTGATCGGCTAAATCTAATCAAATATGTAAAGGTAATAGTGACACTTCTAATTTAATTTATTTTATTTGTACTCATTAAAATATAAATTATTGACCTTATTTAAGGAGTCTAATACTTCATCTTACTAAATCATTGTTAGTCTTTCTACAATTTATTTCTAATAATTGTTTTCACTTTATATGTTATAGCCTTATATTTTTTTCAATACCATAATTATTATCACTTAATCTAATATAAAATAGGGTAAAGAACCTCGACTATAGGTATTGTTTTATTAAGTTTCTTGATTATTAAAAGTTACAAAATGATAATTCTATTATAGAGTATTGCTTTGTTGAGTCACTCGACTATTAAAAGTTACAGAATGATCACCTGATTATTCATTATGTTTCAAACTCATATTTAAAAACTGATGGTTGTTTAAACTGGATATTCAATTATGACTAAGATGTGATAGTCGTTTGAGATTTAAGGATCAATTTTTTTATATCATAGTTAACAAGTTAACGTTCAACTAATAATATCGTCTATTTAATCTATGATAGGAGTTACATGATTTAATTTAAAGAGTTATAATAGCTAAATAATGATAAAATGAATATGGATTATTTTGAGTCAGGTTCATCTGGACGTTTCAGCTGTTACAATGAAGGGTTTTAATTATGATTTTTTATGGATGATTTTAACCCTATATCTAGCCTATAAATAGAGAACTGGATTCAACTTCTCAACTCACTCTCTACATTCAGAATTCACTCTCCAAGTGTTTTCTATAATTGTTCTTTGTGTGCTTTCCGATCAGAAGTGTAATACCACCAGCAGTCCACTCCGGTTTCGGGTGTACGAAATTTAGAGCGACCGTGTTAATCTCGGGGAACGGTCCGTCTACTGCAACAATTACACACATCGGGGTAAATTCGTTTCTAAGACAGTGATTTTTACCACGACACACGGTTTTCGAATTTGTTTCATTTAAATTACTATTTACCTTTCCTGTCAGTGCTAACAGTATGATTTTGTAGTCCATATTTCCAATAAACAACACTTTGTTTTATAACTTTTAATAATCGAGAGATTTAATAAAACATTACCTTATAGTTGGAGGATAATTTTCATTCTTTATCCTATAAAATAAAACAAATATAATCTAATACATAATAATAATAATAATATTCTTTGCCGACATTGATATCGCATTACATTTCCCACAACCAAATTAATTATTCAACTCAACCCTCGCTAGGCTATACATAATTCCCTCAATGCTTCATCGTTGTGTTAAAGGGATATTGATTCCTCAAACTCGATCGGGTAATCAAAATCATGCACCGAGATATCCGAGAAACCCTCTACGTTGTTTCGATCTGTTGCAGGACCAGCCCAATGATACGTTGAATCATGCAAACACATCGAGTAATCTAATCTTTCGTTGAATTCCAGCACTTGGTACTCTGTAATTGAACCAGCTTCAGCTGCATTGAGCTCGTAATTCGTCGAGCTCTGATTCGAGTTCGACTCTAATACAACGGGGTTCGAGTTGTTGCTGTTGGTGGAGATGGAGAACATGCCGGCAACTACGTTTTGCCATGCTTTGAGGACGTCAATGCAGGCTGGTTTATTAGTCGACGGTCCCGAGCCTTGGTTGTTCTTGTCGCTGCTTTTCTGGTGTGAAGATGAAGGGATTTTCTTTGACTCCTTAACCAACCTGGCTTCAGCTTCGAGCCGAGCACTCTCCCACTGAGCCATGTGGTTCAGTGTGCCGTTGGTGGAGCCGATGAGAGGGTCTGATTTGGGCTTGTGGGTGGCGGGATCGATCCCCATCTTGTTAAGCCTTTTCTTAATCCGTGTGTTCCAGTAGTTTTTGATCTCGTTGTCGGTTCGGTTGGGCAAGTGAGCTGCAATGGCTGACCACCTTCACAAAAACAACGGTACGTAAACCGTTTGTCATCCGGGACCATCTAATAATTTTTCCTATCCCTAAACGGCAAGAGACTCAAATTCGAAATGATATAGAAAACATATATAATATATAGTTTAGGGATAAAAATATAGAATTGCGATGCTTTTACCTGTTACCGAGAAAAGCATGGAGTTGGATGATTGTTTGTTCTTCATGTGAACTGAACTTTCCCCTCTTGAGACCAGGTCTCAGGTAGTTGATCCACCTCAGTCTGCAGCTCTTTCCACATCTTTGAAGCCCTTTTTCCAGATGAAAAAGAAGAGCTTAATCAGTTGAATATAGGAACGTAAAAACGAAAGAAGAATATATAACAGAAGAAAAGTATATAATGGACCAGCTTTCTCAGGCAAAAATCGCCAATTCCCGAAGCCATGTTGTTGGATATAAGCCAAGAGCTTCTGGTCTTCATCCGGAGTCCAAGGCCCTTTCTTCAGCTCGGAACAACCAGCCAGCCGTACCATTTTTAGCCAAAAGAACTATTTTTGGGAATGGGGAAGAAGGAATCTGGGGATGTGATTGTTAAGCGGTGGAAATTGGCACAGCCATGTATGTAATCTAGTTCATAAGGGGGACACAGACAGACACCAATGGACATGTGGCTTTGGGCCCGCTTCTTAATGTTTGGTTTCATATATAAACTTGGACAATGATAGATCAAAATGGCTTCAAAGGTTAAACTGCTTCCAGGGTTGAATAGTTTAATATTATTTAAGTAAATTTTGGGTTTGAGTATTTGTACACAGAAAATTTCTGTTAGAAAATTGATTCACCAAAATTAAATATGCGATCCAATCTAAATTAATCAAAACAAAGCGTTACAAATCAGAAATGCAACAAAAGAAAATTGCTTCAAAGGACTGTCTCTGGACAATAATTTAAATATGTTTTCATTATCATTAAAATCATATTATGTACTATTTAAATTTAATAATATCTATATGAATATAATGACGGATCAATTTCTTTAAGATACATATGTGGAGTGTCTTCTTCTTCTCCACCACCATCATTGGAATTTAAAACTAAATAGTCCAAGTTCTAAAATAATTAGATAAAAAAATTGGGAAAAAAGATTTCATATTCTAATAAATTTTAAAGAAGATTTTGGAGCATTTAATAATTTTTAAAGTGGTCATAAGATCCAAAGGATTATTTATTCCTATCCTGAATTTTGAAAAATAAAAAGAAAAGAATTTAAACTTGATTATTTAACTGATGAGAACAGTCTTTTATTTTTGATCGAGTCGACAAGTAGGGTTCGATCTTTTAGGGTTCATACTTTGAAAATGTTCATAAATGAACTAAATAAGAAGCATATTTATGAATGGTCCAAATAGATTTAATATGTTTGGGCCACGGCCGTCCCATTCGAATAAATTACAACAATTGAGTTCACATAGTGTGGGGTAAGCTAAACCATTTTTGGAAATTAGTACATTTCATACAATTGATATAAAATATAAATATGTTAAAAATATATATTTATTTTAAATTTTGTTTGTATATGTTTTGATTATCAATATTATTATATTAGGCAAAGATTAATTTTAATCATAGTTATTTGAATGGGTTGGAGTTAATTTGAATGTTTAACTGTTGTTTAAAAAAAATTTAGGTCAAGGGTGGCTCCCCAGTTCAGGGTAAGGTATTACTTAAAACTAAATTGAGATTTACATATAAATTTACATATTTCCCACAAAAAATGACGGTTGTAGAATTTAAACCTAACCTTATAAACTTAAATTAGAATCCTAACCGATTGTACAACAGGTTGTACCAACACTATTATTATTATTAGAACTCTAGGGTAGCTTAGGAATGCTTGATATGTGCTTTAAAAACAAGACTCTAAAATAAACTGTAGATTGAATAGGCCAATAATCATGTGGTTGATGACTTCTTGATTATTAGCTTATTCGATCTTTATCGTAGCCATGATCGATCATTTAGCTTACCAAATTAAGGATAGTGATTCTTGTATTCATCAAAACTACTACTGCTATAATAATCACCACCATGGTTTGCTTGGTTCACCAGGCGCTGCTATTGATGAGTTCTGCTGATGATGATCATTGCCAGTGATGATCCAATATGAGAGCTGTGCATACGTGGAAAGTTTGTTACAGGTGATGACAGGTTGTTATAACGTCATATGGACAGCTGTTATATATTCTAGAACTATTCTAAACCTATAAATGGTCTCACTGTGTAAACCAAAAAAGGAAAGAGAATACACGTTTTCTTTATTTCTTTACAATACATATTCTACAACATGATATCAGTCGCTTCTGACATGGGTGCTTCTCTGCTGCTTTTTTGACACTCTGTGTGGGAGTTTTATCTTCCGTCTTCATGGCTGGACGTGATGGCGCCTCCCCCAACTATGGTGTTACTGTATTTGCATCTTTTTTCCCTCATGGGAAGGTTTTCACCAACAAAAAAATAAGTGTGGTGCTTGATAAATATAACTTTGTCCTTTGGAAGCAATAAGTGTTGCTTGTTTTTCGTAGTTATTGGCTTGAGAAGATGTTGACTGGTGTCGTTCAACCGCCGCCTGCCATGGTAGAAGGAGATGATGGGTTACCGGTGGAAAACAAAGAATTTGAGGTTTTCATGGCACAAGATAGTACCTTAGCCTCCTGGTTACTTTATACTATAAGTCCACCCTTACTTCCTCAGCTGGTAGGAGCGGAGATTGACTCAGAAATCTGGAAAATAGTAACAAAGTTTTTTGCAAGCAAATCGACCACCACTCTCATGAATCTACACTACAAGCTGAAAACAGTTATGAAAGGTGATCTTGGCATGTGATCTTACATTTATTATGTGAAAGAAATTTGCGATGCACTAGCTGTATGTGGCTGCCCCATCTCCAAGTTTGAACGCATTGGCACAATCCTTAACGGTTTACCAACGGAGTATCGTCCTTTTATTGTTATGATTACGGTAAGTCGCGAACCGTTCACTTTGAAAGGAATTGTTTCAGTTCTCATTGATGCGGAAACATAACAAAAGAACTTTGACCAATTTGATAATCTCCATACCAGTGCTAGTGTTGCTCAAGTTTCCATTGGTTTATCTACTGATGATAAGACTTCTTCTGATTTGAATTCACGTTTGAGGAGATCAGGAAGACTTGTTATTGCTTCTGGAGGTCGAGGCCTAGGTTGTAGCAAACTTCAGTGTCAATTATGTAGGAAAACTGACCATCTGGTTGATCGATGTTGATACCGATTTGATGAGTCTTTCCCCGGAGTATTTTCTTCTGGCTACAAGGGATCTTCTAACAATGCAACTGGAAACTTATGTCATCACAACACTGGCTCCTCTAGTCTTGGGTGTTGTGGTTCTAGTCATGGCCATGATAACTCATTTTCACCTGACACCATGACTGCTTGCTGTGTTGACTCGGGTGCTACGCAACACGTTACTGCTAATGCTGGGGAACTTGCTGATAGTATTGAATACTCTGGGCATGGTAAGTTACTGATGGTAATGATAACTCCTTTTCTATCACTAAAATTGGTCATACCTCTTTGCATACTGGCTCTCATTCCTTACGGTTATCAAACTTGCTTCATGTTCCTTACATTACAAAAAATCTTATCTCTATATCTAAAATTTCTCGTGATAACCAAGTTTTTCTAGAATTTCATGCCCATAGCTGCTTAGTGCATGATGAGGATACAAGATTTGTGGTCATGCATGGTGTGGAATCTAATGGTCTATATGAGTTTTGTTCTTGCTCGTCCAATGAAGACTTTCTACCTAGGGTGGATGTGGCTAGTGGCTCTATGGTTACCTATGATGTTTGGCACGATCGATTGGATCATCCCTTCCATGATGTTTTACGTAGACTAAGATCCACTTGTAATAATCTTCATTTGAGAAATTTTAATAAAGCCAAGTCTTCGTTAAGTACTCCTTGCCAAATGGGAAAAAGTCACGCTTTGCCCTTTCCCTGGTCCAACAATATTTACACTAAACCATTTCAGGTTGTGTTTACAGTGTTGGGACCGTCGGTGCACCCCATGGCGCAGTGGAAACACAACTCGATGGTCTCACCAGCGATCCAAGTACGAAAAATTGAAATCGGGAGGAAGGGATGCGAATACTTACAACGGGTTCCTTGAAAAAATAGCAAGGACAATAATGAATACTGGTGGTGTAGATCGGTTCGAATTGTAAGCCTCCAAGAAATCACGTCTCGTCCTCTACTTAGTTTACCCGATCGAGAGCAATAATTTTCTTCCCCAAAATCGTTTTGAGAGAAAAACGGCTGAAGGTTTTGTGTGTGTATTCTAAAATGGCTGCTAGACCTAACACACCCTTTTATATCCAAGTTACCCTAATCATATTAGGGTTTTTATTATTTCAAATTAATTAAATCTATATTTAATTAATTGGAATTTAATAATCCTTTTATATCCAAGTTACCCTAATCGTATTAGGGATTTTATTATTTCAAATTAATTAAATCTATATTTAATTAATTAAAATTAAATATTTGATATTATTAAAATATATATTTAATTAACTCTAGATATATTTTAGTAACGTATAACAAATTGTACATCTTTGCTCGTTTCAATCCTAGGATGTGACCCTGTAGGTTCTTGTAACGTTAGCGGTAATTATTAGAACAATTCTAATATTACATACAATGAGTGACATCTAGCAATATATCATTGTCACCTAAGTTACAAGAAAATATGATTCGACATATCATCTTGGTGATTAACTCTTTTATGTATTACATCCTTATGTCCTTTATATCTAGAATAGGCACAAGTCTTGGAATAGTCACACTTGTATATCCCATCTATTGTTTCTTGATATCTAGAGTAGACTTTAATTAACAAATAGTTTATGATATCTCATATCAACTTATTCGAGCATGGCTATGCGTTTCTAGTCTTACTCAATCAAGTGGCCTGTGATATATTTTCTATTATATAGGAAGGACAAATCGTATCTTAATCATACACACCCACTTCATATATTGTGATATATTCAATAACAATCTTTATAAAGCAACCAGTTACGGAGCTTGTTTAGCCGCATCAAAACATACAACAATATATGTTGGGATAATATTGATCTCAAGTATGAGGATCATACATATAGTCATCACCATGAGCAATGTTATGACTGTCACATAACAATCCAAGACATATGCTCATGGTGGGTCAATCCAATACATTGTTCTCTAACAATATAATCATGTATCAATTCTGACATCTCTATGTCAATGACAACTCGTTGTCATCAATCAATAACATGTTATTCTTAAGCGTATTATTATTGTTCATGCCCATAATAATACTTGACTAGGGATCTTTTAATAATAACAATTACGACATTATATGGACTTTATTATCTTCCAGATTATGTTAAACACATATATATAACTGAAAATAATAGTGGCAATGCCTTTATTCAATAAAATCGGTAAATAAAAGTATCATTACAATCATCATATGATTGGTC